CGGTCTGATAAGTACGATCTGGACCAGCTTAATGCCTGTCCCTGAACACCAGTGTAGTTTTGTAGTCGATCCAAGAGTATTTTGTGATCTATAGTGTCGAACGCAGCGCTAAGATCGAGTAGAACTAGTATTGAGATACAGCCTTGGTCAGAAGCTAAAAGTAAATCATTTGTAATTTTAACTAGCGCAGTTTCTGTGCTATGATGCGGTCTGAATCCTGACTGAAATTTTTCATATATCTCATTTTCTTGCAAGAAAGAGCACAATTGAGCGGACACAATTTTTTCTAGTATTTTAGACATAAATGAAAGATTTGAAATGGGTCTGTAATTTGCTAAGTTATTTTGATCTAATTGTGGTTTCTTAATAAGAGGTTTTATAACTGCCAGCTTGAATATTTTTGGAACATGACCTAAGAATAAAGACGAGTTAATAATATTGAGAAGAGGCTCTTCCACTACATGTAACACTTCTTTCAGTAGTTTAGTGGGTATTGGATCTAATAAACATGTTGTTGGTTTAGATGCAATGATAAGTTTATTTAGCTCTTCCTGTCCTACAGTTGTAAAGCGGTGTTGTTGTTCTTGAGGGGCGATAATTGAGGCTGAATCACAAGACACCATAGAGGATTGTACATTTACAATTGTGTTTCGGATGCTTTCTATTTTCTCATTGAAGTAATTCATAAAATCATTACAACTATACTGTAACGTAATATTTTGCTCTGGCGATGTCTGTTTATTTGTTAGTCTAGCCATGGTGTTAAATAAAAACCTTGGATTATTTTTGTTATTTTCTATTAGTTTGCGGAGATGCTCAGCCCTGGCTGCTTTTAGAGCCTTTTTATAACGTGACACACTGTCTTTCCACGTGATTCTAAAGACCTCTAAATTAGTTTGTTTCCATTTACGCTCTAAGTTACGAGTTTCTCTCTTGATAGCATGTGTAGTACTATTGTACCATGGTGCTTTAGTTTTCTCTCTAACCTTTTTCAATCTAATTGGTGCAACAATATCTAATGTACTAGAGAAAATGGTGCTCAAACTGCTGGTCATTTCCTCTAGTTCATCTGTTTGTTTGGGTTCACTGAGCAGCTGAGATAGATCAGGTAAGCTATTTGAGAATCTATCTATAGTGATTGGAAGGATTGTTCTGCTTGGTCGATAACGCGGCGCAACATGACAAATTTCAGCAGTACGTATTATGCACGTTACCATGCAATGATCAGTGAGATCGTCACTTTGCGGTATAATATCTATATCGGTTAGATTGGTTCCATATGATATAATTAAATCTAGTGTATGCTTTAGACGATGAGTGGGACCACTGACGTTTTGCTTGACCCCAAAGGAGTTTAATAAATCTGTAAACGCAGTCCCTAACGCATCATTTGTGTTATCTACGTGTATGTTAAAATCTCCAACAATTATTGCTTTATCGGCATTGACCAATAGATCTGAGAGAAAGTCTGCAAACTCTTTTAGGAAATCAGTGTAGGGCCCTGGAGGTCTATATACGGTCGCCAAGGCTAGAGATAATAGGGATTTCTTTCTTACATCTAAGAGCGTAACGTTTAGCACAAGTACTTCAAACGAATTAAACCTGTGACCTGTTTTCTGAGTAACATTAAGAATATCTCTATAGATTGTTGCAACACCGCCGCCACGACCGATCAGACGGGGCTCATGCTTATAACAGTATCCTGGCGGGGTAGACTCATTTAGACCGAAATACTCATTTGGTTTAAGCCAGGTTTCAGTAAGGCAAAGTACATCGAAGCTATTATCTGTGACCATTTCATTTACAATAACCGCCTTAGGTGTGAGCGATCTAATGTTTAGAAGACCTAGTTTTAGAAATTGTTTTTGTTCACTGATATTTAGATTTTCTGGTTTAATTACAATAAGATTTTTCCTAGATCCTACACTAGATTTATTGTTTGGCCTCACTAGACGAGGAATAGACACAGTTTCTATATAATGTTCTACACTACTTATATCAATTAAGTTGGGACAGCAAAGACTGTGAATTGGACTTTGACTTACTAGTCAGATGGTGTGCAACGTCTTGGAGATGTTGTCCGACAGCACAGCCGCTCCGAATCTGCTGGGGTGCAGGCCATCAGCACGGTAGAGCCTAGGTCGCTCCCAGAACAGATTCCAATTATTTACAAAGAGCAGTTTCTGTTCATTACACCATGACATTAACCATTCATTTAGAGCAAATAGTCTACTGAACCTTTCTTGTCCTAGTCGGTACGTGGGAAGCGGTCCAGACACGATGATCGTTGCCTCATGCGCTGTGCTGCGTACCGTCTCGATCAGGCTCCTGTAGTCCTTCTTCAGAACCTCCGTCTGCCGCAGCCTGATGTCGTTCGTTCCCGCGTGGAGGACAACGGCTCCGACGCGCTCGTCACTGTTCAGGATCTCGGGAACCTGTGCGGCGACATCAAGAACACAAGCACCAGGAAAGCAGTGAGTGCGCACCTTACCCTTACCTGAGGTAGCGCGGACATGACGGACCATGGAAGTGCCGATGATCACGGCGTCGTCGCGTTCCGACTCGCGAAGAGGGGAGAAGCGGTTCCGGGGGGAGATCTCGAAGACCGGGAGGGGCGGAGAGGTTCTTGCTCTGGTCCTGGCTCGTGTCTTCCGCTGTGGGATCACCCAGGGTCCATGGTGCTGTGTCGGTGCCGGAGTGAATGAAGCCAGAGATGATCGCGTCCTCCTGGGCAGAGACACGCACGGAGTAGACGAAGTCGGAGTCAAAAAGTTACTAACCACTGACTTGTGTGCATCGGCGCGTGACGTTTCAAGCGCTGATCGCCGATCCCGCAGCTCGGCTTGCCTCTCCAGCAGACCACGGATCTGTTTCTCCACCGATTCCAGCTCCTATCGTACCGAAATCAGCTCGAATGTGTCCTCACCTGCACTCAGAGGTAACCTTAGACACACATCCGATATGTTCGCCATTATAACAGATGAACAGTAGATTAGTAGTGATACTACCAATATCACTACTAATTTAGGACTGGAATGCTGGATATAACCTGTATCCTTTCAGTGAAACGGGTGTAAAATCAGACGCTCGATCGGCGCGAGCCCACGCGTGAAATGCTAGCGGGCTAAAGGCTAGTAGCCGAGATTCGCAAAGTTGGATCTAAGTAGCGATATCAAAGCAATCCGATTGTTTTTTATAGGGAATAGTATCGAGGATAAAAATAGAAAGTGCTTGTTAATAAATGAGTGGTAAAGAAGAAAATCAATGATTAATGAATCAATTCGACGGAGCTCAAACACAAACAAACACCGCACGCGCATGCGCCTATGGGATCGTGGACTTAAATTGCGCTGAGTCTACGAGTCCGTACACTGTAAGACATTTCATGTTAGTTTAAGTTGGAAATGCAAGTTCACCTGCTGCCTTGAAAATCGAAGTTCACTCAACTTAAAGACTGCCTTTGTTTCAACTTAGAAACTAAAGTTAATGAGCTAATTAAGTGATTCATTGAGTGATGATTGATCATTATTGAAGACACCTGATGTTAAGCAGAATCACTGAAGGAAAAAATCACCATTATGGAGATCAGTGTTAGCTTTTGTTGGATTCTTGACCCTTACATTTATAACTTTTGTTTGGTTGCTGAAACTGAGTGGTGAATAACCAGATAATCAAAGAGAAAATGTGATCTGATGGTGTTGGTTGTGTTTTAACATAATCATCATTTGATGCTAAATAGTGATTTCTCTGCATGGCAAGCCATCTCGCAAACACAATGGTAAAAACAACAAAAAGCAGCAAATTTCACCGAACCTGCAGCTCCTGTCCATAACAACCAGACCGTTTACCCATTTCCAGCGTGACGATTGAGTCTGTCCCAAAAATACCTCTCAATGCGCCCTCGTGGACTCGCGCAAAGGTCCCTATAGGTCTGCACTACATGACGTCACCAAAGTGGAAGTCCACAAGTACGGAGTGTGCCCTTTGGGACAGGGCCATAGAGTTTCATTACAGAACTTTCTATATAAGGTTTCAAATTAGCCTTTGTAAGTAAAATATTTTACTACTGTGAAATATGCAAACAAGAACATATACTGAAAAACAGTTCTCATTTCATGAACCCAAATTAAATGCTCTGCTTACTGTGATTTCGGGCTTTTCCTTAATCCTGACAGTGTCTTTGATGTCCATAATATTTATGTGATTAGAATTTTCATAGTAGTCCTCTAACTCCATTATTTGTTCGCAGAGGTGTATAGTAGAAGAGTAGAAGTAGAGAAAAAGTAGAAGTCCTGCCATGTTTTTATTCCACCCATGAACTGATTGACAGTTCATTTCAGCTGATTTCTGTCTCCTGACTGAAAAACTGCTAATAATCAAATCCAGGTGATTGGAACAAAATACTGAGGAGGACTTTTACTTTCTGAACCTGGACTTTACACCTCTACATAGCAATGCCACATGCCAGCCAACAGTAAAGAAATAAACCAGAACTGGACCTTATCTGAGCCACAAAATCTGTGTATATCAAATATGGAGTCATTTCAGCCTTAATAGCAGAATCACTGAAGGAAAGAAGAGAACAGAAAAAGAGACGAGCAGAAACACAAGAACTACAACTGACTTCAGACACAGTCTTAGATGAAATCACCTGAAGATAAAAGAAGACATTAAATCTGAAGATCTCAGCAGAGGAGGATTAAACAACTCCACAAACAGCATTACCAGCTTCTGGGAAGACATGAACACATTAGAGGTTTGGTGAGCTTATTGATCCAGTTCACCCTGCTGATGTTATAAGTTTATTAAAGCAATAAAAAAAATTGGGACAGTTTTACATTTTTCTTTTATTCACTTAAATTTGTGATTTTTTATGTTATAGAAGATTATACAATTAAATTGATACCAGTTTGAATAAACTAAAATTAGCAGACTGTTTAAAAAGATAGGAACAATCATAATTCATAATTTTTATAATCACAATAAGATTGATTCCGTAAAATAATACAATTAACATGACAATACAGGATGAACCCTATTTCTCACAAACCCCTTTCCTCTTCTCAGAGCATGAGAGATCATTCCAGTTCTGGATGGAGTCTGAAGGCATCAGTTCAACACAGTCCTCGCCTCCACCGGCATTATTTGGCTCTTCTTCATACCAAAACCTGAATAACATGTGGCAACAAGAGTAAATTTAGCACAGAAGCAAGAGCAAAAATGAAAGTGCAAAAACTTAAGAGAGAAGAAAAAAATCTTTGGTTGTGGTGTTTGTGGAAGAGTTGTGTCTTCAGTTAATTTTTAGAGGTTGTGAGTCTCATGTTTAAAATACATTTGCACTGGTTTTATCACTTACCCTTGTTTCAGTGTTGAATTATCCACCCATTTCATGATCCCCTCGTTCTCAATGTCAGACAAACCAATCCACACACTCTCCTTGATGAATGAAGTTAAGTGCCTCTGTGTGTGAATATAAACAGGAATAAGGACATTTACATATTTTCACAAATTCGCCTTTTTGTAGTTTACACAAACTACAAAACGTGCACTTTAAAACCTGTTTTCAAAAGTTTGTGTTTTCAGGCCCCCAAAAAGCCGTTGTCATGTAAATAAACGCCCGAAATGCATAATAAGTTTCCCGATTTTAGTTGAAAATGGTGTGTCATAAAGAGCGATATTCCTCTCATTCAGTCTAATAGTAATAATTCAGTTTAATATAAAACAGGAGTAAGTGTGATTCCTCTCATTGATGAACAGTCACTCACACAATCTCACCTGCTTCTCTTCAGTGTTGATAATGACCAGATCAGCTCCTCGATCTCTGCAGAACTGCCTGCTCTCAGACCAGCTCATCGACTCACTGGATATGAACAAACATTCAGGCCCACACAGATTTCCTAACAGAAACCCAATTTTTAAAAATGGATTAAGATAAAGAAAATTATGGGAAAATAATCTACTTAGAAAACAGATTCGTACTGACCTTGTTTAGATTTTTCCTTCTCTAGTTCTTCACTCAAAGATGTGACTCTGGTCTCTAACTCCAGTTTCGTCTGATTCAAAGAGTTAAAACTTCCCTGTAACTGACTTTTCTCAGCAGTGAGATCATTGACTCTGGTCTCTAACTCCAGTTTCTTCTGACTCAAAGTGCTGAAGTTGTTCTTCAGTTGGTCTTTTTCAGTCATTAGATCAGTGTAATTGTCCTGTAAGCTGTTGATAGTGTGATTGAACTCTTCAACTGTGTTCTTGTAACTCTTTAACAGGTCTCTCTCTGCTGTGATGGTGATGTACAGTGTGATGAAGACCAGCAGAAGAACACACATGAGCCCGAGACACACTGTCATCAACACCAAACACCTGCTTCCTCCTGACAAACAGAGACAAAACACACAGATATCAGTTAACGCCATATTATTAGATAACATTTCAAATCAACCTTTGTAAGTATTTGCGTTTTTGTTAGATAAATGATAGTTAAAAAAAAAAGTTATTTTAGAATGACAAACATTTGGAATTCCTTTTTGCTAAAATATGCAACATTTCATATAAAATCAGAAACAATTACAGTTTGCATACAGAAAACAATGATCGAAACTTTACGTAACATTTCTCATCCGCTTAAACATTAGCGACATCGTCTCTGCGTAAAACGAAACTGCTTCTGCTTACTTTGCTTTCGATCATTTCCTTCATCCTTGCTGCGACTCTGTGTTGGAGGTCTCGATCTATTATTAATATTTCTGCATACATAAAAGGTCCCTGATTCCATTATTTTCTCCAAGTTACAGTCGAACTGTAAAGTATAGTACAGTACAGTATGCGTTCACAGATGAGGTGTGGTCTTTAAGATGTGTGCCGTGTTTTTAAATAGTACCAACACAGGAAGTGGTTTTTATTAGTTCAGACACAGATACATCTAGATTTCATTCTCACTCTAAAACTCTCTGTATGCTTATACTACTTTATGATGGAATATATATTGCATATTCAACCTCCTATAGTCAAAGCGTTGTGGAGTTTTCTCTGTGATAAAGTTAGCATCTACAACGTCCAACAAGAGGAATCTGTGATCGGATAAACTGACTCAAACACACTAAAACAGGCCGAACTGGACCTGTGTTGAGGACCATAAACTGGAAGTGAATGATGATTTACATCACTGTTGTGTTCAGGGACAGAGAGGATGATGGGAAATAGAGATTGAGGACTTCCTGTTATTAAACACAAGTGAGTGACAACAGGGAATTCACATTTTACTTTTCTCAGTAGATGTCACCGTTCTACCATTTTCACTATCAATTCAATTCAATTTAACTTTATTGTCAGACTCAAGGTCCATTAGAAAACCATACAACATTTCAAACACCCAACACCTCCCTAAAACCCTAAAAATCCAAGATGTAGGTGTGTTTGTTTCCGCAGTAGTTTCAATTTTTATATTTTTAGGTCAAACCGTTCTGGTCTGTCAGTCATATAATGCAGGTCTATGGTCACCACCTCAAAGAGCATGCACAGAGAAGTCCAAATTAAACATGATTTAATGACTCGTAAATGTAAGTACACATTGATGGCCTAAGACACGAAACGAGCGGTTTGTGTGAGAAAACGAACAGTATTTATATTGTTTTTACCTCTTGTAACCACAACCACGTCCAAGTGATCTGAGGGCGCCGGCGCTTCGGTCTGCATTCAGTCATTAAATCATGTTGAAACAAAGACACCTACATCTTGGATGCCCTTGAGGTAAGCTAAAACATAGCAAAAATTAATTTCAAAGTGAACTGTCCCTTTAAGGTTTTTGATGAAAACATTCCAGGATTTTTCTCCATATAATGGACTTCAATGGGACCCAAACGGTTCAAGGTCCAACCCAGCTAACAGAATTTTGTTATAAGAACGTTCTCCAAATATTCAGTGTTGGTTCTGGGAACGTGAAAAATGTCCAGTTTTCTTGACGTTAGAGGAACGAGTTTTAAAAGGTATAATGTTCCTCAAACGTTCTTTAAACGTAATTTTCGATTAAAAATTCAACATGATAGTAATGTTGATTTCTAACATTCCAAGAACATACAAATGTCCAGTTTGCTGAATGTTACTACACAGCAAAAACTCGAGTGTTAAAGTGTTAAAATTTGAGTTTTAAATTAACACTGAAGAGTGTTAAAGTTAATGTACTATTTAAGTTATTGATTGAGTGATGATTGAGCATTATTGAAGACACCTGATGATAACAAGCAGAATCACTGGCCAATCAGGATTGATCTGGAAACAGGCCAATCAGGATGCTCTCTGTCTTACATGCGCACACACGCAAGGGCTCTTTCTCTCTCCCTCTCTGCCGTTCGCGCACTATGTATGTTATGCGCGCAGTATGTTCCGTCTCGGATGCGCGCTCTAGATTCCGGGAGATTTTAACTAATTTGCGGGCATCAGGGATCCGCTATCAATATGCGGGATTTTAATAAGTACTTTTTTTAGGTCAATTCAGCTCAACTCCGGACTCTCCGGTCAAACTCCGGACGTATGGCCACCCTACTACACACACCGTCACGGTTTTATCCAACCACTTTCCTTCATCATTATATTTGACAGGGAAGCCAAAATGCTCCCATACATGGGGATTTAAATGGCGCGGGGCGTTCAAGCTCCTCCGTTCCTCCGCTCACCATGACCACGATGTGGAGATGTGTGTGGACTGAACATGCGTACAATTTTTTTTTTTTCATAAATCAATCCGCGGATCACGTGTGTGCCGAACCGAAGATATTGATCCAAACGGATCACGGATCAATGATGATCCCTTGCACCACTAATAAGAAAGGTAATGACTTTGTCATCAAAGGCAGCAATGCGGCTTACATGCATGCCAAACAAGCCTCCGGATGCCAAGCTGTAATGGCACCCTCAGTCCTGATTCAGCCTCTCCCCACTGCAGAAAGTATTGCCCAAATGCAGTCCAGAGCAACACCACCTGAGATATATGTATGGCAGCAAAGGGGGGCGACAAGAGATGCAAACAACAAAGGGAGATCACATGAAGGCCTCATGATAGTTTCCACCCCATTGCTTAACATTCTAATTCCAGATGCGCACGGATTGGATCCCTGCGCAAAGGGGGGAGATTCTAAGGCCCCATTTACACTGCATGGTTCAAGTGACCCAAATCCGATTTTTTCCTCTCATGTGGCACAGTTCGGATATGACCCATGAACGTGTAAGCAGGAAAAAAACGCATGGATTCCGATTTTCTCAGATCGGATTCAGGCCGCACTCATATGTGGTAATAAATCGGATATGAATCGGATACGTGCATTTGCGTGTGCCATGTAAGCAGACAAATCGGATATTCCCCAGTAAATGCGAGTCGTACGTCATTAAAGAAGTGACGTCAACTCAGGTGGACACCACCAACTGAGATCAGATGACTTAGGCACGATGGAGGACGAAGGATACACACAGTGGAGCAATGCGGAGGTTTCATGTCTTTTGAGTGTTTGGGGCGAAGAGACAAAAATGCAGGGTTGTTACAGAAATAAATCCGTGTTTGAAGACATGTCACGAGATATGGGGAGGCACGGTTTTAAGTGCTCGTGGCTACAGTGCCACCGTAAGATAAAAAGCTTAATGACTTTTAAAAATATTGTGGAAAGCAAAACACTGGATAATTTTATTCGCATCTGCATCCATTGTATTTCGTGGTGTTTTACTTCCTTTTCCGGGTCAGAACGTCTACATTTGGTAGTTTCAGCAGTGTGTAGTGTAAATGCAAAAATCGGATACGGGTCACTTTTAAAAGAGGATGTAAGCGGGTCGTCAAAAAAATCGGATATAGTCAGAAAATCGGATTTGGGCATCAAGACCAGCAGTGTAAATGCAGAAAAAAGAGGAGTATGTGACTGATTATGACTGACGTCCGCCTCAGCCAATCACAGCAACCTGAGAGCAGAGAGAGGGAGCTAGAGACAGAGAAGATAATGAGCACAACAGCCAACACGTGCAAAGTACACTAGCGTGCACAGGACAATGAAAACAAACACAAAACGCGTGGAACGCAACACTGAGCACTTAGGGGATAGTTCACAGGATAGTTCACAGAAAAATGAAAATTATGTCATCATTAATGTCAAAATTAATATGCTCATCATGTCATTTCGAACCGGTTAGACTTTCATTAATCTTCGGAACACAAATTAATGTCTGTTTGTTGAAATCTGTGAGCTTTCTGTCCCTCCATTGACAGCTACACAACTACCTTGACGCTTCAAAAAGTTCATAAAGAGATCGTAAGTCTAATCCATATGAATTGAGCGGTTCGGTCCAAATTTTCTGGAGACAAGATTGCTTTATTGAACAGATTGAATTTCGGCTTTGTAGCGTCAAAGAGGTAGTTGCATAGCCGTCAATTGATTTGAGGGACAGTAAAGGTCTCATATTTCATCAAAAAGATCTTCATTAGTGCTCCGAACATTAAGCAGTACATTTAAAACTAGTGTAATTACATAAATAATTAGCATTTCATATTCCAGATATTCATATTCCAGTTATTTTGGCTCAAACTTAAAATCAAGTAAAACATTGAAGTTACATTATTTAATATGTGGAATTATTTGAATATAAATGTGCCGTGGTGATTAGAGCTGCACTGCCGCCTTTCGCCTGGTTATTATTTATTTACTCACCTCATGGGTCAAAATGTCACAAGACTTAAAGAAAGTTTTGCATTGTAAGACTAGTTTTGTGAGTTCAGTGGAATGGATCTCCCACTAAACAAAAAGTGTATCAACCGACATTTTAGTTCACTTATTTCCAGGCTTTAATGGCTGTTGTAAAATCCACGAGCCGATGTCGATCTGCTGTCGATACTCGAAAGCTTTGAATCTTTTCCTGGAAAAAGTCTCAAGAGTCACGGCGTCATTTCCCTCATGCTTAGGAGCTGTGAGGAAAGGAAAAAAAACAATGGGAGAGAGCACAATGTAGGAAATGAGAAGCAGCTCATGTGGGAGATAAGAAAAACACATTTCAGCTCAAGCTAGAAAGGTTCATACACTAAAGGGAGCTAAAGATCATTATATAAACGTCCCCCATAAGGACTATGTCATTAAATGTGCCTAGAATAGTTATCCTAGTTTTCAGTGACAATTACATTAATTAGAAACCAAGTATGAAAAATGTCCAGAGTTTTCTAGATTTTAAGCAAAAATGTAATTTGTACTCTGACAAAGCAATTTGATTTAGCTGTAAATGTATAAATTAGAGTATACAAGCAGTGCTAGCTTAAAATAAAAAAGACAAGCCAAATTAACAGTAGATAAATAATATTCATTAATTTGTTACATTTTTACATAGCGCTTTTCTTGACACACACACACAAGCCAATCGCCCGTGTTAAACCCCTACTCTTTATTCGAAGGACATCCTGGGATTTATAATGACCAAAGAGAGTAAGGTCTTCGGTTTAACTTCTCATCTGAAGGATGATGCTTTTTGACAGTATAGTGTGCCCATCATTTTACTGGGGCGTTAGGACAAAGGATCACTTGTCACAGATCAGACATTTTGAATTTTGAGTTTAAGTTTAGTTTTTGAGTTTCACAAAAGAACATCAAGAATCTCAACAATGGTAACATGCTTCATGTTGCAATGCATGCTGGGAGCCATGAGTTTTATAATATGGTGGCTCCCAGAATGCACACTCTCAGAATCTTGCTGGAATTGTAATCATTTTTGTTTATATTTTTCAACAGCTCAAGCATACAGGCCTATATAATGGTGCATAAAACATATTAATAAGG